CATGCATGCTAGGCAAACACTCAACCACTCAGCTATATCCCCAGCCCTCAGACTGCTTAATTTTTAATCATTACTTCAAACTCCTCAACTCTTTTCTCTGATATCTCCCTTCTATTATTAAATCCATCTAGCAAATTTTTAATTGTAGTTATTGCTAATGTTTAGTTCTAAAATTCCCATTTGGTGGGCTGGCGGAGTGACTCAAGTGATAGAGCACTTGCCTAGAAAGCATGAGACCCTGAGTTCAAACTCCAGAAGCACTCTGACCCCAAAAATGTTATAAAATTGTCATTTGGTGAAATGCCAAGGAGAAACCCCCTAGGACTACCAATATACACTTAAAAAAAAAATGGACAGGAAGGTAAAACAGGTCCTTCCTAGGGATAGGTATTAGTGGGAGGGTGGCATAAAGAAAGGTGAAGGAGGGGGAATATGGTTGATGTATTTTGTATTCATGTATGAAAACAAAATAATGAAACCTGTTGAAATTGTTCTAAAAAGGGGAATGAGAAAGAAAGATGGAGGGAGTGAATCTAGTTAAGATATATTACAAACACATATGTAAATGTCACAATATATCCCCTTCTACAACTACTATATGCTAATAAAAAAAAGGGGAAGTAAAATTCCCATTTGGGGAACAGCGGTATAATCCCAGCTATTTGGGAGATCTGAGGCCAGCCCCAGGCAACAAGCATGAGACCCTATCGGTAAAATAACTACAGCAAAAACAGGGCTAGAGGTGTGGCTCAAGTGTCAGAACACTGAGTTCGAATCCCAATACCACCAAAAAAAATCCTTTTGGTTTTTCTTTTTATCTTTTATTTCTTTGCTGAGACTACTCTTCCATTTTGCTTAAAGAACATTCTCCTTTCCTTCCTGCTGTATGGTCATACTGTTTTCAAGTCTGCTTTAAATTCCAACACCTTTGTCACCTCCATGTTTGTATCTTTTCCCTGGAGTCTTCTTTGAATGAGGAATACCCTGGAAGTGTGTGTGTGTGTGTGTGTGTGTGCGTGTGCGTGCGCAATACTGGGCAAATTACATAACCTCATAACCACTCTTTCAACTTTGGAAGAAGGTAAGAGTGGTATCAATTGCAGAAGGTTATGAGGATTAAATGAGTTTACACTCATATGGAACACATAATAGTGCCTGACCACGTTAAGTACCTAGTAAATATTAGCTTTTATTATTGACGATTATAATAGAAAAATTAGAAAAAAGTAAAAAGATAAGAATCACCTCAAACTCCAATGCTTAGAAAGTGTAACACAAACATTATGGTCTAGTCAAAATAAATTTACTAGACTGAGACCCTAAGTTCAATACCCAGTACTGAAACAAACAAACAAACAAAAAAATCACACACCAATTGGTTGAATGAAAAATGAATAAGGATCATATATTCTGCCCCATCCTCTACATTGCATATTTCATATTAGGGGGGAGGCAGCAGACAACAGGTTAGAAGCCTCTCTGCCTACTGGCCTTCATCCCTCTATTCTTCCCAACTGCAACATGCACCCTTCCTCTACATCAAGCTCTACTTGGGCTTCTAGTTTCATCTTAAAGGTCACATCCTTGGAGGTTTTCTGACCCCAGGCAAGATGTAGATCTCTGTTAAGTACTTTCAGCTCACCCAATACTCTTAGTGCTTAAACCTACAATTTATAACCCTGCAGTTAAGAACCTCAAAGGACAGGACAAGTCAAATCTCTTGTCTGTACTCAAAGTTTCACCTTTGCTCATCCTTCCTTCCCAGTTGGTGACTAGACCCTTACCTGTTCTCCAAGGCCCTGTAATAAAAAGCCTTTCCAGTTGATTCATGTTGATACCAATCTGAGCAAAAGTGCTACAAACCTGGGGCTTAAAAGCTCAGACCTGAGTCAAGCAGGGTGGTGAAGGCACATTTCCAGTTCAGTGATTCTAGTTTTGTTTTTTGTTATTTGGTGGTACTGGGGTTTAACTCAGGGCCTCAAGCTTGCTAGGCAGGTGCCTCTACCACTTGAGCTACTCTACCAGCTCAGAGATTCTGGATTGATAGGGATTGGGGCAGGGATGGCATCAAGTAATGCATATTTTCCAAAGTTCCCTTATGATTTTGATACACCAGCATCAGGTTCATGGAAACACTGCCTGTGGCAGACAATTTTTTTAGGGTGGGGGAGGGACAGGACTGGGGCTTGAACTCAGGGCCTCACGCTTGCTAGGAAGGCACTCTTACTGCTTGAGTCGCTCCACCAGCCCTTTTTTTGTGATAAGCTTTTTTAAGATAGGGTCTCTCGAACTATTTGCTGAGGCTGGCTTCGAACCGTGATCCTCCTAATCTCTGCCTCCTGAGTAGCTAGCTTACAGGTGTGAGCCACCAGCTCCTGGGAGGAGCCAACTTCTGACATGACTTCCAATGATCTCTGTCTTCTGACAGTCATACCCTGTGTAATCTCCACCCCTTGAGTACAGGCTGAACTGAGTGGTGGGTGTGATGAATATAATTAGGTTACAAATGACTGTGACTTCATCTTGCTGGTGTTGTTTCTATGGCTCTTACTATGATGTGGAGGACTACCTGGGGAGTCATTGGCTCAACAGTCAGTTAAGGACCTTAGACCAATCACCTATTAAGTAGTAATTTTTGCTGACAACCACTGAGTGAGCCTAGAAGCAAGACCTTCCCATTTGAGCCTTGAGAGGGCTATGGACCTAGCTAACACCGTTTTTGTTGTGATAGTGCTCAAGATTCAACCCGAAGCTTTACACATGCTAGGCAAGCACTCTGCCACTAAGCTATGTACTCCACAATCCACTAGCTTAATACCTTCATTGTAGCTTTGTGAGAAACCCTGAGGCAGACTCAGTTCAGCTGTACCCAGATTCCTTATCCACAGAATTTTAAATCAAGTATGGCAGTGCATGCTTGTAACCCCAGCACTTGGGAGACTGAGGCAGGAGGACTGGTAGTTCAAGGCCAGCCTGTGCTATACAGTGAGACCTTGTCTTAAAAAAAAAAAAAAAAAGAAGCCAGCCATTGTGGTACACTCCTATAATCCCAGCTACTTTAGGAGGTAGAGACAGTTGAAGACCAGCATGGGCAAAGTTAGTGAGACCCTATCTCAAAAAATAAAAACAAGAGGGCTGAAGGTGGGGTTCAAGTGGTAGAGTACCTGCTTAGCAAGCATAAGGTCCTGAGTTCAAACCCCAGTACTGCAAAAACAAACAAAAATACCAAAAATGCAGTTTTAAACTATTAAATTTTAGAACTGTTACACAGCAGCAGATAACTAATACACTGCTTAGATAACCCTCTAAACTCTGCTCTACCCATCCATGTTGGAATATTCACCTAAGTGGGGAATTTCACATCTCTAATAATATTCTACAACACACTGACTGCAGATATTCTCATCTTTTGTGTAGAAAGATGTGCACCACGTAATTGCCATCTTCAGCTTCAGAGACGTTGGCTTAATCTCTTAAAAAAATTGCCAAATTTCATGTGCATGAACTCTGGACTCTCATGAAGTCAAGTTCTCTTCCTGTTCTTACCATGATGTCCAGCCCCAAAATCATCTTAAATTGCTATACACTAGGGGTCAGCAAGTGTGAGCATGCAAGATTTTCAGGAAGATTCTTCTGGTTCCCTGAGCAGGTGTTCCTACCACCTGAGCCACACATCCAGCCAAATCCCTAAATCTTGTTACAAACTTCATGATCAAAAACTGAACTCTTGCTGGGCACTGGTGTCTCACATCTGTAACCCTAGCTACTTAGGAGACTAAGATCAGGAGGATCTGGGATAGAGACAAGCCTGGGCAAATAATTCGTGAGACCCCCACCTCCAAAATAACCAGAGCAAAATGGACTGAGGTATGGCTCAAGCAGTAGAGTGCCTGCTTTGAACCTACCCTGCTCCCTCTACCCCGAAAAAAAAATTAACAAAAGAAACACAGCCTTCACTACTTCCCAAATAAACTGCTGCTCCTTCCCCATGCCTTCACAGTCAGGGACTTCTCTCTTTGTAAATGAAAAGCAAACTGTATTTTCATGATCCCAGGGACATGAATGGCTTTCCTTCCCTCTCTGAGTATGAAACCAGGCAGTCCCAGCCCTGTGTACACTGGACTTTAGAGCCATTCACATCAATGTGGAACTAGAGAGGTTTGGGAAGTTAAGGGGCCATTAAATGGGAACAGCTTCCAAGAAAAGATAATACTAAGTTCCAAAGGAGAAAGTAAGGCGAGGTTGGTGGGTTGGAGGGCAGGCTCTGAATACCAGGAACCAGCAAGTTCTATAGACTGGAGGGTCTTGGAGGAAGGTTTTTTTTTGTTTTTTTTGTTTTTTTTCCAGAAGCAACAGGCTTAATGACTTTGTCTAGGGCAAAGCTGAGAAGCCAAGAGTGTCAACTCCTGAAACAGGGCTCACAGGACCAGTACCATTAAGACTCCATTGCCCCCAAGACAATAAGCCTACCTAGCCAACTTTTGACCAAAAAGCTACTCCCCCTGTGAATGGTAATCTCTCATAAACCTCCACTCAAAGAACAGCACAAGTTCAAAGAGCACTAGAAAGAGAAACTCAGAGCTCTTCAGAAGAGAAACTCAAGCGAGGGCTCACACTAGAGCTTCCAAATTCTGGGGAGTGCTCAGCAGCACCACTCCAAGCAATTGACACTGATCCTCTAGCATCTGAGGTGGAAGGAAACAGGCTGAACAGATGCTCCTTGAGAGCAGGGGCAGCGATCGTCAGTTTGCATGTTCAGTGCCCATCACATGCTGGTGCTCAGTGTACCCATTACTTCTGAATACATGTTTACATGCAATTTGTCCGAAGTCACATAATCCAGGATGTAGGCCTTCTGGCTGCTAGCCTAGAACTCCGCAAACAGTATCTGGTTCTTTTTATTTTCTAGCACTTTCCTTTATCGTCAACTGAGAATGAGTCTTTTTCCCATTCACAAATATCAAAAACAGAAGAGACCAAGTTGCGGGCATGTTTGTACATAGACTTCTCATAGATTTATTTCTGTGTCATGTTATATATAGATATATGCGTACATACCTTTGTTGGTTTTTTTAATACAATCTATAGTCCCTTCCCTTCCCCACCAAACTCACAAAAGGAGATATAAATTCTTCCAGAATTGCCACTTGGCTTTCCAAGATGGTCAGAGCCAAGAAAGAACCTTCTCTTACAATCTTAAGGAACAGCTGTCCTTAGGCTCTGGAGTCATTAATGTGGCAGCATTCCCAGGATCCAAGCGGAGAGAGAAGAAATAACTGTAGTGTGACGGGATTCTGGGATGAAAGTGTCCAGAATGGCAGACTGGCTCTCAGTACTCTCGGGGTGCAAATAAAGATGGGGACCCTATGGCTCTTTAGATGCTGCCCAGCAGGCACAGATAGAGAGCAGGAATTGGGGATTAGGCATGCAGGGACCAGAGAAGGAACCTGTGGGTTATGCTGGAGATAGAGCAGCCCCATCAGGACTACCGACCTACTCAGTGACAGATGCTGAGCTCTTAAAGAAACACAGAGCAAGCATGTTGGGAGAGGGGGCAATAAACACATAAGAAAGTCACATGAAACAGGAAGTACCAAGAAGAACATGACCTGTGCTGGCCTCCTCCACAGAGAAGGTGGGATCTATGCCTGGGAGTAGAGGAGGTGAAAGGTCATGAACTAGGATTATCAGCTGGCCAGGGGCACAGGAAGGCTCTCTGAGGACTCCTAAGGGGCAGGCAGGCAGGCAGGTGGAACCCCGCATCCCCAGGGAAGAAACGGCAGTCTTTTCAGTTCGACTTAGACCAAATCTTGGCACTCCCTCGGAGCCTGGCAAGGGGAAGAGAAAGAAAGAAAGAGAGAGAGGATGCAAGGAATTCCCTAAGTCCTGGAGGCTCCCCCAGCTCCCCACCCCATGCAAACCACCAATAGAAGTGGAGCAGTCAGGTTCCTGAGATCAAAGCAGGCTCCCAGAAGCAAGTAGTTCCCACCACACTGGCTCACCCCTTGCCCTTTGAGGCTTTCTTGCTGGGCTGGCGCTGGTTGGTGCCAGGAGCTGGTTCCCTCAGCTCTGTCAGGTGTTGTTCAGGGTCCTGAGATGTGGCTGCAGCTGCTGCTGCCGTCGTAACTTTAATGGTTTTTTTAAGGTTGGCAACCTACCAAGATGAAAGGAATGGGGGTAGTAAGAAAGGTCCCAGTACCCAACAGGCCCTGCTCATCTTGTCTGTCTGCTAAAGCCACACCCAAACTCCTGTCCGAAGACCAGGTGCCCAAGCTGGGGAGCCTGAGTACATCCTGCTCCCCTGCCTGCTTACCTCACTCTCAATCTGCTGCTTCAGGCCCAGCTGCTGCTCCTTGTGTTGGTTGGCACGGCTCACCTGCTCCTCAATGCCTGACAGCACCACCTCACAGCCCACGCACCTGCAGGAAGCAGGGGAGGTAAGTGTTACAAGAGCTGTGATCTCAGGCTTGGGAAAAACAGACTCAAGAAGGACCTAGAACCTGCCATCCAAGCTCTTGTCTGAGTTGGGAACCCTCACCAGGGCACCTGGAAATCAACTATAACAATACACCCAGGAGCAAGGAGCACCCCTGGATAGAGTTAAGAGAGGAACAAAAGTGCCTGGAGTGATACATGCAGGACGGGAATAGGAACTAGAAACAAAATAGTGCAGGGCATGGTGGCACAAATCTGTAATCCCAGCACCTGGGAGGCAGAAGTAGGAGAATCTCAAGTTCAAGGCCAGTCTGGACTACCTAGTGAGATCCTGTCTCAGTAAACCAAGGGCTGGGGGGATAGCCCAGTGATACAGCACTTCCTAGCATGTATGAGGCCCTGAGTTGCACTCACAGAGGAAAAGACAGCTACAGAAATATGCCAGAATAAAAAGGAGTTTGGAGGGATAAAAAAAGGAGGAAAAGAAAAGAGGAAGAGGCTCATGGTGTTATAAACCAATGCCGATGTGTTGAATACAGCCTATGACAGGAGGCCCAACCTCTTAGCTAAGATCCCACTCAAAACCTGGAGCCGGTGGCTCACGCCTGTAATCCTTGCTACTTGGTAGGCAGAGATCAGGAAGACAGAGGTTCAAAGCCAGCCTGGGCAAATATCTTGAAAAAAACCCAACACAAAAAAGGCCTGACAGAGTGGCTAAAGTGGTGGAAAGGCTGCCTAGTGTCTGGTGCCAGTTGCTCATGACTGTAATCCTAGTTACTCAGGAGGCAGAGATCAGGAGGATCGAGGTTCGAAGCCAGCCCAGGGAAATAGTTCCGTGAGACGCTATCTTGAAAAACGCTTCACAAAAATAGGGCTGGTGGAGTGGCTCAAGGTGAAGGCCCTAAGTTTAAGCCCCAGTACTGAAAAAAAAAGAAAAGAAAACCTGCCTACCAAGCATGACACCCTGAGTTCAAACCCCAGTACCAACCAAAAAGAGGCTGGGTGCAGAGGCTCACACCTATAATCCCAGCTACTCTAAAGGCAAAGATCAGGAGGAACGTGGTTCCAGGTCAGCCCAGACAAAAAAGTGACACACCGCTTTTTTTTTTTGTGGGACTAGAGTTTGAACTCAGGGCTTTACACTTGCAAAGCAGGTTATCTAATACGTGAGCTACACTTTTAGTCCATTTTGCTCTGGTTACCTTGGAGATGGGGGGGTCTCACAAACTATTTGCCCAGGCTGGCCTCGAACCTCTATCCTCCTGATCTCAGCCTACCAACTAGCTAGGATTATAGGTGTGAGCCACTGACACCTAGCACAAAACCCCATGTTAATCAAAATGGGGTGTAGTGATATGCACCTATGGTCCCAACTACTACTAGGTAGGAGGCCAGCCCTAGGAAAAAAACACAAGACCCTACCTGAAAAATAACTTAAAGCAAAAAAGAGGTGGGGTGTGGCTCAAATGGAGGAGGGCCTGAGGCCCTGAGCTCACACCCCAGTACTGAAAAAACAAAACAAAACAAAAAAACCTCGAGTACCACTCCCCCTTTTCTTTCCTAATTACAACTCCAAGGACCCTACTTCCTGCCTCCTATGGCCTTCTCCGCTCACTTCCCTCAGACACTTTGGAAGCAATGAGTTCATTTCCTGCCTTCTCTTGGACTCCACCTCTGTAGCCCTGCCCAGCCCCGGCACCGAATTGCTCCCTGTCTTGGTGTGCGAAGGGAGGGACAACTCTCACCACTCCTGCAGGGTTCGAGCAATGGCACTGAGGTCTTGGCGCTGAATGTCCCGTCCAATGCTGTAGTCAACCTCCAGCCGTTGATTGCGCTGGTCCAGGGAACCCCGAAGCACATCAGCATATACAGCCTCAATCACAAGGTCTTCCAGCTGCCTCACGTTTCGCAGGGCAAGGGCCTCCAGCAACACTGCATATGGAATGCACTGGGGTCCACAAGTCAGACCAGGATTTGTGAGGTTCCACAACAGATGAGGGCTTCCTGAAATTCTCTTCCCTCCTTTCCCCTGTGCCCTCTATTCCTACTCCTAAATAATTTCCTCTAAAAGGCAGGTTCTACAGTAAAATAAAGTATCCTCACCTCACAAACAGCATTATGAAAAGGACCATTTTAAAACACAGGACTGATGCTCCCCATCACCCTCACCCACACATACACACCACAGAGGGAAAGGGACTTGTGCCTGGTGTCATTCCTTTGGCCACAGCTCAGGATATCCCACAGTTATTGGCCAAGATCAGCTTGACATTACAGGAGTACAGTAAGCCGCCTTACTCACAGATTTATTACATATGATTTTGCCCAAGCCCAGTCAGAGAGAAATAATACATTTTTAAAAAATCAAAAGAAATTTCAAAACCAAAAATTTTAGATTCTAGCACATGCATTCCATAGCTCAGTGCATGAGAGCTCTCAATCCCGTGTCATTGTCATTTGTGTTTAAATCACTGTGTGACTACTGAGTATTTCCCTCCCTTAATTTTGTGAAAATCTGCCTCCCAAAATACAAATGGTTCTCAAAAAAGCCAGGCAAAAGTGAATGTTTCTTTTTTTTTTTTTCGGTACTGGGCTTTGAACTCAGGCCCTTCACTTTGAGCCACTCCACCAGCCCAATTTTTTATGATGGGTTTTTTCAAGATAGGGTCTTGTGAACCATTTGCCCAGGCTGACTTCCAACTGCGATCCTCCTGATCTCTGCCTCCTGAGTAGCTAGGATTACAGGTCTGAGCCACCGGTGACTGGCTAGAAGTGAATGTTCTTAATTGAAGTGATAAAGTGAAAATTTTGAGATTTGTTGAAAGACCACATATTTTTAGCAGAAGACGGGTGGTGATGTGGAAAAAATGAATCAAGAACCCGCAAGGCAGTGCTGAACTGCATCCTGAACATTTGAGGTTCTTCCTGAGCATTGGTGGTCTTCTTGGACTCATAGACCCTCAGACACCCAGGGTTTATGGTATTTGAGACTGGGAGTGGTCTGCAGTTACTGTTAGATTCCACCCATCTGCAGACACATTCCTTTCTACTGATTTCAGTAAAATTAACAATATAGTAACAACCTGGACAGTGCAGATTACTGAGGATATGGTTTGATATTTAACCAAAGAACTGAGCCCAATAGGGACACAGACATACTTCTGAATTCTATATACTTATTTTAAGAAAGAGAAGATCATTACTTCACCAGAAGAGAGCCTCGATCTCAGCTCTGAGGTTTTGTTGTCATGGAACATTATCCAGTGGGGAAGGTAACAATTCAACATGTGATCAGCAACCTACTTGCTATTTTGATCCAAAACACAAAAAAGATGTTTACTGACAGCTCAAGGTGACTAAAACATAACAAAACACAAAACTAAGAGAATCCTATCAGTTTAAATGACTACGGTAATGGGAGTTTAGATGCTGACCCTGGAGGAGGAGAGGGGACATCCAACAGGATGCTCTACACCTTACTGGCTTTGGACTGGTAGACGATGGGGCTGTCACTCACCTTGACTTTGGCAGCCAGGGTGACAACTGAGAGGTGTCGAAGCTTATTCTTCTGAGCCTCAGTGAGTGGGGGAAGATTCCTGGCTTCAGCTAGGGAAAAAGGACAAAATAAGGGAATCCTGCTCTCAGTGTTTTGGGAAACCCTAGTTTCCTTCCCCTGCATTTTTTTTTTAAGTTTTCCATGTTAATTAAGGTTTGACCCTGACCCTGTATACCAAGGGGACCTAAGTGGGACATGCCAGAATTTCTTCTAACTTCCTTCCCCCACCTCCATCGCTCCAGAGCTCTAGCCCCTCTGGTTACCTAAGTAGTCAGCATATGTTCCATAAGCAAACACTGTAAGCAGCCGGAATGTGGAAGCGAAGTCGCTCTCAGCCAACTGAAATAATGAAGGAAAAGAAGAAATGACAGTAAGGGTCTCTCTTGACACCCTCCCAGTCTTATCCTATTTTGAACTCAACTTTCAGGCCCCATCTTTCCCAGACAACATTACCTCTTGGTTCACCAAGAGGCATTTTCTACCCCTCTGATCACTCTCCCTACAGAAAGGGCTCTTTGTTATGCTATTTCCCCAATCTACAATGCCCTTCCCTCCATCCACCATTCAATTTGTATCCTAAATCAGAGATGACAACAGTTATTCTAGTTCCTTGGGAGGCTGAGATCAGGAGGATCACAGTTCAGACCATCCTGGGCAAATAGTTTGTGGGACCCCCCTCATCTCCAAAAATAACCGAAGCAAAATGGACTGAAGGTGTAACTTGAGTGGTAGAGCATCTGCTTTGCAAGTGCAAAGCTCTGAGTTCAAACCCCAGTAAAAATAAAAAAACAAAAACATTCAGTGTTCAGAATCTAATAGACACACACATCAGACACCACAAACGATGTTATACACTCCTTAGGGTGTATGTTTAATTTTCAAATTTGAGTATTTTTAGGCAGTCTGTGGTACTCCCCAATTCACCAGACTCCTGTCTCAGCCTTTGCTTTAGCCTTAACTGGCATTTGAATATTTGCCCTCTGCTTCAGACCCACTACCAGGAAGCTGTCTTACATCATCTAGTCCAGCTTATTATGATCTCCTCTCCTCCTACCACTCATCACTCATCCTGGCACTTAATCCCTGCAGTTCTCACCTGAGCACATCTTTCAAGAACATTGCAGACCCAGTCTTTAGTATCCCATTAGGATCTAACAACAGCTATTCATGTTGTTGGCCCTCTCAACAAATACTAAATAAATGATTTAAAGATGTATATCACAAAAAAAATAAAGTAACAACAACAAAAAAAGATGTATATCAACTTCTCTATTTCTTTAATTGGAATATAAGCTTCAGAAGGGCAAGTCCCATGTCTTGCACTTTTCTGGCAGACTATTACACAGGCACTCACTCAATCAGGAAGTACTTCTTTTTCTTCACTTTTATAACAGGCTTTGGCTCCACTGCAGGAGGAAACATGGAAAAGAGATAGCCACAGCCTTCTCTGGACCATATAATGATCCAAAAAGGCTAAATCTACAGATTCAATCACAGGATCTTCAAAACATGGCTTACAGTTTACCCACATTTCACTGTCCTAGCACCTCAGGACATGGGCTGGTGCCACAAGTCTTGGCAACCCACTTGCTCTAGACTTTAAGCTCTTAACTCTGCCACTTGTATGTGAATTGTTCTCCCTGCTGTGCTCCTAGCAGCTTGCCATGTGTCTTTGGGGAAAAAGACAATCTCTCTTACCTACCTTAGGTGAATTAGTATATGCTGCACAGGGGAAAAGAACAAGGTATATAACTTAACATGGTCATTCCTTCCATTTGTACCAGACTTTACGCCTATAAAATCTCATTGGATTCCCACAATGAGGGGCAGTGTCACTCCTAGTGTGTGTGAGTGATACGAAGGGCCTCAGAACTCAGGGCTCAGCCATGCAAGGCAAGTGATCTGCTACTGCGCTACACCCCACTCCTTTTTATTTATTTTGAGATGTCTCACTAAGTTGCCTAGGCTGGTCGGGAACTTCTGATCCTTCTATCTTTCCTCGAAAGCCCAAGGCCCTGAGTTCAAACCCAAGTGTGGGGTGGTGGGGAACAGGGTCAGGAACTGAAGTTCTGCAGTATAAAATTGTTCTGATCACAGAGACATTACTATTACACTGGTGGAGACAGGTTCCAACTAAGGTCTCCTATTCTGAATGAAATGCTCTTTTGCTTAGAAATGAAAAATACTAGGTTTTTTCAGATCCCTCATCTCCAAAGGGAAACAAAGATTGTTTGCTTTTGTTTACTTCTCCAAGATGTCAGCTAATCATTCAGTTGAACAGTATCCTTGTTCAACTCAATGTTTACCAGGTTGCAAAACTGAGCCCCGCCCACCCACTCTGAAATAGGAACATTTTTTTTTTTTTTTTGAGGTTCTGGGGCTTGAACTCCGGGCCTTCACCTTGAGCCATTTCTCCAGCCCTATTTTTGTGGTGGGTATTTTGAAGACAAGGTCTCCCGAACTGTTTGCCCAGGCTGGCTTCGAACTGCGATCCTCCTGATCTCTATCTCCTGAGTAAGCTAAGATTACAGGCATGAGCCACGGGCGCCCAGCCTTTAAGTAGAAACTTTTGTCCCAAGCTTCCCGGTGGGCTACCCAGGTCAGCAACCCACCTCTCTAACATTGGGCATATCCAGTAGTTCCCCAAACACGTAGACACCAGGAGCCTCCAGCACCTGGTGGATGAGTGTGGCCAGCGCTGCACCCTTGGCCGATTTGGCCAGGAGCAGAAATTGCTCCTGGTTCTGCCCTGTCACCTTCACCTCCGCACTCATGGCTGCACTGAGCTGGGGACCTGGTCTCAGATTGTCTGGAGCTGCAAGGAAAGAGGATGTGAAGCTAGAGGGTCCTCAACACTGGCAGGATGGGAAGCCCAAGGGCGAGGAGCCGGATTAAAGAGGCACCAAAGTCAGTTCTGAAACCAGACCTGGGAATCCCATAGGCACTTCACGGCTGCCACGCCCACCCCCTCCCCGATACCTGGGCCGAACCCCAAGCCCCACCACGTGCACCCCATTGAGCCCCAAGGCACAGGGTGCAGCCAGAGAAGAGGGTCCACCCCAACGACGACGCACCCCCAACTCTACACGCCTGTCTTGCACGTGCCCCAGCCACGTGATCTCATTCCCAGGCTCCTCACAAGTGGCTCCACCCACTCCCTTAAAGAGGCCGCCCATGGACCATGGGACCTCGCCAACTGTCCGGTCGTACCGTGGACCAGACTCTGCGGGCCGCTACCTGCAAGATTCTCCTTCCAGCACACAGGGGTGGAGCCGCCGCTCCGTCACCTCCGGCAGTAGTTCCGCGCCTTTCCTGCCACCTCCCTTCAGGGTCGCTCTAGCCGCTAACCTCTATGGCCCACTTCCGGCCGTACTTCCGCTCCTAGGATACAGGTTCCGAACGGAACTTATCCCACTTCCGCCTTCCGCTGCTCGGGAGAGGGACACAGGCATTCTACTGTCTTGATTGGTTACTGGGGAGAGAATGACGGTCGTCTTTTTAACTGTTTTGTTACAATAAAACTTTATTGGTGAAAGAGTGCAATTCGTTTATACGCAGAGGAAATACCTGGTCTGTGGAGGCCGGGAGTGGCTTGGTGACATTTCTGAGTTGCAAATGTGGACATCCGAGCTGCACGGGATTCCTGGGAGGAGAAAAAGTTGTAGTGGAAAGAAAGGAGCAGAAAAAAAAAAAAAAAAAAAGGAAGGATGAGGAGTGGAAACAATCATAGAAGTTTAGCGGCAGAGATTATTTGGGTAGTTCAACCACTCATTTTTTTTTTTTTTTTTGGCAGTACTAGGGCTTGAACTCAGCCTCGCACTTGCTAGGTAGATGCTCTACCACTTGAGCCCTAACCACTCACATTTTTGAAGAGCAGGAGAAAAAAGTTAAGAAGGTAAAGGAAATAATAGCTAACGTGCCTTGAGTGCTTACAGTTGGTCAGATCTTCAAAGTTGTATCCCGTTAAATCCTCACAACTGTACTGATTACCCAGGTCATCCTGACCATGGTTACAAAGTGTACTCCAGTGATGCTTTCATCACTCAACTCTTGTAATGAAATTCCTGGGGGAGAAAAAACCCTAGGTGGAGATGATACCCGATTCCTGATTCTGAGTTTGTGCCGGGGTCAAGCCAATGATTGAAGACACCGGACCAGGAGTTAAGAGTAAAGCAAGGCAAAGTTTATTGAAAGAACAGCAAATTTCCCACAGGACGGGAGGTTCTTAGAGAAAGCTAAGCCATGGAATAGCTGAAGTCTAGAAGATGTTATAGGGCTCCGCCTGATTTAGGTCCACCTATTTTACCTTGAGACCAGGTTTGTGATTCGATGTCATCTCCACCTGCTCATCCCCATCCTTACTGAACTGGACATTCCAGGAAGGTCTGGTCAGCTTGCCTGGCCTTGAGGCCTGCCATTTACACTTTATAGCTACCTTTTGTTATCTTGGTAAAAGGTTTGCTGTTTTACTTTTTTTTTTTTCCGGTACTGGGCTTTGAACTCGGGTCCTACACGTTCAGCCACTCCACCAGCCCTTTTTTGTGATGGGTGTTTTCGAGATAGGGTCTCTCAAACTATTTCCCCAGTGGCTTCAAACTGTGATCCTCCTGATCTCTGCCTCCCGAGTAGCTAGGATTACAGGCATGAGCCACTGGCACCCAGCTCCAACTTTTCTCTTACCTGAGAGGACTGGCTGTTTTACTTTTCTGAGGAGCCTGCTTTTCATGTCTCTTTAGATGTTTGTTTTCAAAGATGCCTCCCTGTCTCATTTATCTAAGATAAAGGCAGCTGCATTTTGTTATCTTGGTGTGAGCCCTTCGTTTTACTTCTCTGAGGAGCCTGCTCCTGGTATCTCCTTAGATGTTTACTTCTAAGGATGCCTTCCTGTCTCCCTTATCTGAGTTAAAATCACTTCTGTTATTTGCTTCCCTTACAGAAGTCATATGTTATTCTCATTTTACAGATAAGAAAATTGAGGCTTATAAAAATCTAAGGATTTAATTGGAACCTAGGTCTTTTCAAACTCAAAATCATCTTTCCGCTTCACCATGATATTTTGTGGTGTTGGGGATAAAACCCAGGGTTTCATACATACTAGACAAACACTCTCCCACCAAGCTATACTCCCAGCCCAGTGATACTTAAAAATAATAAAAGCAGGGCTGGGATATAGCTCAGTGGTGGAGAGTTTGCCTAGCATGCATGAAACCCTGGGTTCCATTCCCAGCACCTCAAAGAAAATTACAAGTAACACTTCTATATGTCTTATATTTTATATCAGGCTTGCATAAGGTCAAAGATTGTGAGGTTAATGACATCTTGGCAGTCTTTGTGTTAAGGACAGAGCTAGGATATTTACTTAATTCATTTGATGCTCACAAAGGAAAAACTGAAGCCCAGGGAAGTTAAGTAACTTGTAAGTGATATCAAGGTGAGAAAGTGGAAAAAGAGAAAGGAAATGACAAGAAAACCATAGGACTTAGGGCTAAAGGAACTTTTAGAGTTTCCATTCCACATCTCTTGGTTTAAGACAAAAACTAAGCAAAAAGCTCAGAAAGTAGAAAGAAAGCAAGATGTGGCCTGGTGGAGTGGCTTAAGTGGTAGAATGCCTGCCTAACAAGCATGAGGTCTTGAGTTCAAACCCCAGTACCATCAAGGAAAAAAAAAAGAAAAAAGAAAATGAGAAGTGAATGGAAGAGATGAAACTAAGATGAAGAGAAGGAATCAAATACATAATAAAAAAATTCAAAGGAATCAAAGAATTAATGAATCCAAAATTAAACAGGGAGGGAAAGAAAACTATTAGAGGAAAGAATGAGAAAAGAACCAACACTTGTATTATGTGCCGAGTGCATTATTTGCAATAAACTTATTCACACAGCAACTTCTTGAGGTGCACATTAATATGTCAGGTAACATGTGAGGACACAGGATCACAGAAGTAAAATAATTTGTTGAAGGTCACCAGTATTATTGCGATTTCAGTGCACATTTATCTGATTCCACACCGTGCTAAGAAAAAGAAGAAAGTGGGCTGGGACCATGGCTCAAGTGGTGGAGCACCTGCCAAGCAAGCTTAAGGTCCTGAGTTCAAACCCCAGTACTGAAAAGAAGAAGAAAAAGGAAGAGAAGGAAAAAAAGAAAGAAAATGTAGAAAGCAAATAGAGCTCTTTGTGTGGTGGGGTTATTAGTAGTAGGTATGGAGATCTTGGTGTCCTTGGTGTCCTGGAGCCAAGCAAGAGGGAGGCACCGCCTGCCTTTGTGCAGCAGCCCACTGCATTGTCCCAGATCCTCAAAGGCAAGTCTGCAGCACTAAAATGGGGTCTAAGACATCCACTGAAGAAGTATTCTTGAATAAAGAATGAGAGCTGTGGGGCTGGCAGAGTGGCTCAAGCAGTAAGAGTGCCTGCCTAGCAAGTGTGAGGCCCTGAATTCAAAACCCTAGTGTTGCCAAAAAAAAAAAAAAAAAAAAAAGAGCTATGGAAGCACACTCCGGGTTGGTGCCCCTTCACAGAGACTCTGCATCAACCTGAAGACTGGAAACTCAAAGTGTGGAATCCATTCCTTGGAAATGACTGGAATGGCTGACATGCCTAGGATTTTGCTGATACCAAGGATGACCTCTGACTGGAAGATCCTAGGAACTTACATCTTTCTTTTATTAACCTTCGAGAGCAGCTATCAACTTATTAGGCAAAAAATGGCTAGAAACTTGGGATATATGTGCCAAGTAAATAACATTAGCAAGGTGTGATGCTGTACTCCTGTAGTCTCAGCTACTCCCAAAGCCTGAGGCTGGAGGATCATGGGCACACAAGTTCAAAATCAGCCTGGGCAACATACTGAGTGAACCCTCCCTCTAAAAAAAAAAAACAAACTTTTTTAGGAGGAGGGGGGAAGGGATGGGGGAAGAGAAGGTGGAGGAGGGAAATAGAAAAGAGGATAATGTGATATCTAGTCCTGATTTGCCTTAAACCGGCTGTGACCTTAAAGCAAATTAATATACCATTTTGTGGTATTTTTTCTTCCATATCTTCCAAATGAAAGATTTGATGTAAGGCCAATTTTGGTTCTGATGATTTATGGTTCTATGAGAGAAAAAGGAATCAGAGAACATGAGAGAACCAGGAAGTAGAAAAAGAATGTGGAGAAAGGAAAGGGAATGTACTATAAGATTATAGAGATCAGAGACAGGGGAGGAGTAGGAGATGGAGAAAGAAAACAAAGGAATAGAATTGAAAAAAGAAGAGGAGAAAGTGAGAAAAAAAAATAAATGCCTCCTCCAACAGGGCAGAATCTAAGTAAATCAAGCAAAGTCAAGGATGTAGCAGTATTCATTCCTTACTAAGTGGCAGTATGTATAAGGCCATGTATCAGGTGCAGTTTTTTTTAATTCTAATGATAGAAATCAAGCTAAAAAACTGACTGAGATCTACGGTGTGAGACACATAATAAAATATCATTGATTCAAAACATATTGAGCATGTTTTACTGCTAGGAATTGTTCTAGCTAGTAGGGATACATAAAATATTTCTACCCTCTTAGTATTTATATTATTGTGATGAGATTCAAACCATAAATAGTTAGGAGATGATAAACATGAAAAACAAAAATAAGGTAAGGGGATGTTGGAGTCATTTGCTATTTTACTTAAAGTACTAAGAAAGGGCCACCGTCTCTGATAAGGTGATAACAGGACCTGAGAAAAATGAGGAAGGAAGTCATGTGGATTTCTGTGGGGAAAGTGTTCTAGGCAAAGCTGATTACAAGTGCCATGGCTCTCGGATGGACACAAGCTTGATGTGAGGAGCTGCAATGGGGCCCATGAGCAAAGGGAGAGAAAGAACAGACAGGGTCAGAGGGAGCAGGGAGTTCAGATCCTGTCAGGACATGGTAAGGACGCTGTCTGTTGCTGTGAGTGAGATGGGCAACCACTAGAGGATTTAAACAGAGGAGTGACATGATCTGAACCACATGTTTAAAATATGGTGATGGCTGCATGGACAGACACAATGAGACCAATCAGAAAGCTTCTGAAATGATGCAGAGAAGAGGTGGTGGTGAATCGGACCAAGGTAGGAAAATGGAAATGAAGACTAGTTGGATTCTGAACTTAAAGGTAGAGTGAACAGAATTTTGCAAGTGGAGTAGATGGAAGGTATGAAAGGAAGAGTGAAGAATTACATCACAGCTTGATGTGGTGGTGCACATCTGTAATTCCAACATTCAGGAGTCAGAGGCAGGAGAATCAAAAGTTGGAGGCCAGCCTGGGCTACATATTAAGACCCTGTCTAAACAACAAAAAAGAATGATAGCATAAGACAAGTTGCACCAAACTTTCAAAGTGCAGATCATTTTAATTTTACATAAACTTTCCAGATAACAGGAAAGAACAAAATACTCAACTTATTATCAGACAAAGAAGCCGCGTACCAGTGGTTCATGCTACAATCCTAGCTACTCAGGTGGAGACCAGGAGAATGGAGGGTAGAGGCCAACCATGGCAAATAGTTCGAGAGACCCTATCTCAATAATACCCAACACAAAAAAGGGTTGGCAGAGAGGCTCAGGTGGTAGAGCATCTGCTTAGCAAGCATAAGGCCCTGGTTCAAACAAACCCCCGTGCTTCCAAAAAAATAAAC